CCAAACAAAGTAGTTTCGCTTTCACAATGAAACACAGCGTCACACACGGTGACCTTGAGTGAACGGAGGCCGGAGGCTAGAGTGAGGAACGGCCGGCGGATTCGACGGAGGAGCGGCCGGCGGGCTTGCGGCAACCCCATGTTACGCGAAGTTGATGTATTTCCTCAGCGACCAGCACAGATCAGCTCTAGGCATGACGAAGCAGATATCGTCCTCTTTTGGAAGACCAACCAAAATAGTTTCGCTTTCACAACGAAACACACAGCGCCTTCACGACACGGCGGTGGCGGCAACAATACTACAGCGAGAATAAAAGTTACGCCTTCTTTCTTTGCATGAACATTTGGGCGGCGTTATGCAAATCTTCCCACATAGTGATGTAGATATGTGGGGGCGTGTTAGAACGAGCCGTTTTAGGAGGGCGTGGTTGACTCTTTAACTTTTATAAAGAATATCTCTTTGGATTTGAGACTTTAGTTTTTGCAACTTTACAGATCTTCTTTATGCACCAAGAGCTTGTAACACTCCAAAGAGAAAGGAAAACTTGAAATAGCATCATATGACCCCTTTAATACCTCATTTGTTCATTCATTCACACTGCATAAATGCTTTTCTTAGTAAAATCTAAGAAAGAAGTTTTCTTAGTGGAATCTAAATTAAGCGCTTTTTACTTAAAACAAGAAAAATAATCTTAATGCAAATAGAACAAGATTACCCCATTGGCAAATAATTTGCAAAATAAGAAAAATCCACTGAGTCCACAGACTAAATAACTTCTTATGTAGAAAATGCATCTTGATTTAAGAATCTTTAGATATTTTGACTGGAAACAACAAGACAAAAATACTAAGTAAGAAAAGCATTTTTTTGCAGTGCAGGTACATTCATTCATTGCACATATTTTCATCATAGACACTGTGAAAGTGACAAAAACGGCATGTACTTTTATACAGAGTCCTTTTGATGAGGAGGCTACATTAATTCGTAGGGAGATACATTTACATCGGGAGAGGATTATTTTGATTTTTTTTTTTGCCATATCCACATGCTATTTATTTGAGCGGTACTATTTTTAAATGGTAGTTTTCTATATAACATCAGCGATGCTGAGCACATTAGTAAGGCCACCGTATGCAGAGCGGTAAGGAAAGTGTGTCTCGCTCTCACGCTCTTTCTGAGAATTTTTGTGTGGTTTCCTGAGCACAAACCCATTAAAAAAGAAGCTGTTTACTATATGGAATGGAAGGATGCCAGATGGAAGGGTAGTTTGAGATATATATATGCCATAACCACCACCACAGCTGTTAAATTTATTTGGTCATCTTTATTTCCCACAAATACAAAAGCAAGTTATTCTTTTTCCTGTTGGATTTAATATTCTTCCAATACTTGGTAGGCTAATGTGGCCATCTCCTCTTCATCTGTTCTTCATTATTTTGTGAGCCTTCTTGCTGTTGGCTGAGTAGAACTCAGATGTTAAATTCATTAATTAATAAATGCAACAGTTTGGATTAGAGAACATTTAATTACATGAAAAGAGCATTAGACTATGTGGAAAAGGCTGCTGCACACTGAAATAGACACTGAATGATATGCTTGTAAAGTTATGTAGCCTACACCCATGAACCTTTTATGCTT